CAGGGATAGCTTACATTTTCAATATCTCTCTGGACTTGATCATGCTGTTACTCAGGCCAGCTCTAACAAAGTCATTAGATAGAAATAAGTGGAAAATTGGTAGAAAATAATGGTCCCTTTAATCAAAGTGACAGCACTGAGCACTTGGCCTCTCCCTACAACAGGGTGGATCCAGTAAGCTGTCACTCATTGTAATCCTTGGGTGGCTCCACTGATTTCAAAGCCATCTATGCTGATAAAAGCTTGAAATACAACTTTAGGGTTTCTATGACTCGCCACTATCCTGATGCCATATTTTATACCGAACTTATATCCAGTTTATCAGGTATAAGACATGATTACATGTAAGAACTGGGATTGGTGCAGAAGAACCCCTTTGCATTTTGCCTGCTGCTTATTTCAGTCCTCTTGAGAATATGTGTGTAATTTCCATGTATGACAGTTAGTTGCTCAATCATTGAGCTATGCACCTCAGTTCTCACCAATTGTACCATATTTTTTCTAAAGAAACAGCATTCTCCAAAGATGCCTTTTCTATCTGATTTTAGGTTTTAAAAAAGGCAGATATGTTTGGCATCAATATGGGGCTTCTCCAACAGTTTGTGTTCCATCAGAGAATTGTGTAAAGTAAGATGAAGGGAGATACTTGTTGGTTGAGATTGATAGAAATGTGATCAGGGAATACCTGTTTATGTTGAATGAGTTTAATTTGTGTAATTATATGTGAGAATAACCAAAAAGGACTAGGAGAAGCAGTGCTGCCTAAGGAATGATCCAGACAAAGGGGGTGAAGAGACTCTGCAGTTGCTTAGAGAGCTAGAGTAAGAACTTTAGGATTCTGTTAATATTGCTTTACAGTAAAATGTCAGATTTATCTGAGAGTGCTAACTTCAATATTGCTAGTCTGAAAATAAAAAAATCTTCCACCATCTTTTTTTTTTAACAGCCTGACCAATTCGGGCAGGTTTTTATTAAATTTCTTTCTCTACTCTTTTTTTAAACTAGATTATCTCCTTCATATATTGTCTGACTACCTCTTTATTTCTGTAGAGCATTTTAAAAAGTGTCCATAACATACTAATTAACAAGCTAGTTAAGGACATAGCAATTAAATTGATATGTAGTTGGATTAGAAATCCCACTCAAAAGGTTCTCATCAACGGCTCCTCTTCAAATTATAGAGAGGTATATGGAGAGGTTTAGTCTTATGTACTCTTCTATATTTTCATCACTGATTTAAATAAAGGGTTGGGTGGAATATCAGATTTGTGGATAACATACATTTGGATGGAAGGCAGAAATAAAACAAAAAATCTTAATAAGTTAGAAAAATGGGATGAAAATAACACAATAACATAGAGACAATGGAAAGTTCTGTAATAAGCAAGACTAAAATGAGTAAATATTTGATGGACACTTAGGTTAATACTAGTACTTATGGACCCATCTTGAATACCTTGTCTAGTTTTGACCACTGTGCTTTAATAAGTTAGAATATTTTCTGAAAAGAGCAAAAAGAGGACTAGAAGTTCAATCCTATGAAAGGAAGTTGAAAAAATTGNGATGTAATTGGCCTGAGTTGCCTTAACTGGCCTCCTACAATTTTCCTTGCCCTAGTATCTCCCTACTGAAACAGACATTGTGATGGCTACTGCTCCTGTAGCTTTTGCTTTTGTCTTTTATGGATGGCCCTTTTGCCTATACATTGGATCAGCCCACCAGTAAGCTTCTGCTGGTAGAGTAGCTCCTATTCGCAGCTTGCTTTGCTTCTCTCTTATTTGAAGAGACTATGGCTGACTCCTGGATGACGATGGGTTTTTGTCCCTGTATCTCTAGGTAACCAACTCATCAATCATCCCGTGCCATTGCCAGACAAGGAGACAATAGCCATTAGTACTCACCAAAGGAGGACTTGCTATCTCCCAAGCTGAGGCCAGCTACCAACTGTGCTAGAAGGAAAGCTGTCTGCCTGACCCTGCATGCTGTCAGTAGTGAGCATGCTCACAGCATGACCTCTTGTGCACGTACACATTCACTGTCTTAAAGCTGTTGAAATAGCACACAAAGAGGATTAATTCCTTCCCCACCCCTTAAACCATCTCCCAACCTAAGTTCGCTCGGCAGGTATTTTAAGATAAGACTGTTTTATCTTAAGATGGGAAAGTACCAAGCGAAGTAAGCAGGCAATGTAATATTGGACAGGCAATTTCAGTTGCAAATCTGGTGGTTCCTGTGATTAGTGTAGGGATCATGCTAACCTTTTCTATATCATATATGTTTTTTTACTTGTGCTGCCAAAATGATACGGAGAAGATTCCCACCACCCCTCTTCAAGAATGACAGGCAGGTTCCTGTACCTCTAAGCTACACACTCTGGCTCCTCCCTTTTGCTACCTCCTTCTTTCCTTCATTATTTTTCTTTCTTTACCTCTAGCTGCTGCAGAGAGTAACATCTATCGGAAACCACCCATCTATAAAAGACACGGTACAGTTTGGGCATGGCTTTAACATATATTTGGGCATGCAAGTTAAAATAAACCAAAGTTCTGTTTAGGTCTGGTGGTGTGCATTAGAAGTGGCTCAATAAACTATACAAAGGTTGGTGGCAGTGCCAGACCTGGACATAATAGACTTTGAAAAGAAGGAAAGTATAAATGGCCTTTCAGAAACCTGAAAGGAGGGTTGAACAGAAAAGTTTGGCTTGCTAGATCTCTTATCTTAGGGTGCCTCCATGTGTTCAGGAAAAGTAAACCCTCAATAATGTAACTCATGCAGGAAAATAGCATGTTGCTTTTAAAGTGTATAATTCTTATTAGCTTTTAAAACATAAGGATATGAGTTGGAGCAGGACCATATACCTTTAGATATTGTGGTCGTGCTACTGCTGCTCCTTAGCTTGAAACTCTGCAGTGTGTGAAAATAGATGCTTTCCATGGAGAATAGGAACCAAAAGGAGCAAAGTATTTTACAAAGGGAGCTGAAAATAGAAGAGCAGGGAAGGCAGATTGAGAACTTTGGCAGGATGGAAGAACGTTTGAATAACAAAGTGAAAAATTGTGCATAGTTATTTTAGAAAACAACAAATAAGTATTTGTGGAAGAGGGATGACAACCCTACAGGATTTTAAATCTACACATTAGACCCAATAAGACCCAACTGTGTACAAGAAACCAAAGTATGTTACATAAAGGAGTGACACAAGAAGTCAGAGTAATGATAGAAGTGTATGATTTGGGCAGCAGAATGTCAGATAAGTAATGAGAGATCAAGCTGAGATCATTGGAATCAGAGTGAAGTCTGCAGTAGTCAAGAAAAGAGAGGTCCAACACATAGAGTTTCAGCCAAGAAGATGAACTAAAAGACCCTCATTGTTTTAACATTGTGTGTCAAATTAGTTGTATGATGAACTGAACATAGGAGTACAGGAGAGAAATGAATTTCAATTTTTTTTAAAAAAAGACTCTAGGTTGGCTTAAGGAGATTGTTGGATATGATGGCTTCTATATTTAAAAAAAGGTGATGAGAGAAGGAACGGTAAATCCAAATTTGTACTTGAAAAATATATTGAAGCAAAAATGTCAAATGAATAAATGGACCTCGCTGTACTTTTCTGTGGCATTACCTTAAGGTATTAATTTGTTTAAAACTACAAGCCATATGAATCTATCACAGATCTTTAAAAATTGCTACAACATCATCAGATAGATATGTGGAAAAGTATCCTAATCCTATAAAACTCAGCTGCTAGAGCACTTGAGAATAGGCCCAAAACTTTCATAGCAGCCTCCACTCATTTATCTCTGACTTGTATCCACCTACCCTCCCAACTAAGCAGAAAATGCATGTCTGTTTACAAGTCCTTAGAAAAGTGTAGCGTAATTCTAAGAATCATTAATTTTAGAAGACTGTATAATATGTTTGAAGAGTAAAGCTTAACCAAAATGTTTAGCAAAAGATATAAAGAATTGCATGAATCATGATTACTTGGCTGCTGTTGAAACCAGTGAGCACCACCAGAGTATTCAGTCCAATTCTCTGCCTTTTACTATTTGTAAAACAGGTCAGAAACATAGTTTGACTTCAAGTTAGGATGCAGGCACAGATCTTGCAAAAAGGAGCAAGGCTGGATTTGCTTCAAAGCCGGGTATCCCACACTCTTGCTATATGGCAGAAAAAACAACAGGAACCAATTCTCTTTGTTACCTTTGGAGAACAGAGCTCTGAGGTTATGGAAGGTGGAGCTCTGAAGAGGAAAAACTGTTCCTCTGAGCTTCTCAACAATCTGCTTTTGTTTTAGAAGAGTTGTGACATTTCCTTTAATGTGGTAACCAGGTGTCTCCTCCTCTCTTTCTTTCCCCCTTTCCTAATGTGCTATCTTCATAACTCCCTGCTTGCTGGCTGACTGCACCCCACTGCATTGTAAGTAACTGCCTTTGGCTCTATCCTTTGAAGCAGCAAGTTTCTGAGAACCTTCTGACTTCCTGCAGCAAGACTTGGAGTTTGTGTACTTCACATCTCTTAGTTGTTCATTAAATGAAGTCTTGGCAGTTTACAGATAGAGCTGCTTCTTTTTTTTTCCTTTTTGGATGCAATTTTTTTTAATCCAAAATCACACAATGAAGATGACTTGCTTTGTAAATTACATGTATGCAATCTTGAGTTTTGCCCATAATACATGCTAGGGGGCATATATTTAAGACAAAGCCATTATAATTGGTTATCTATTAATTCAGTTAACATATTCATTTTAGAGCATCACAGTCGGAACAAATTGCATTGATCTGAAATAAAAACAACATGGATTAATTAAAACATTAAAAAAAGAATAGAATTTTGTACATGCACATGAAGTCTATCGCCATAGCTACATCTAGATTGGGAGATTGGAGACTTGCAGCTGCTTATATAAAAGAATCCAGTTTAGAATGCTGATGCATGTTTCTTATAATGCATAGCACGGCCCCAAAATAGTGTCTAGCTTTCCCCTAATTGCCCCAATCATGTCTCTCAAAGTATTAGTATCCCCTTCCAATCCTACAGCCCAAATGAGGCATAAATGGGTAAATGTTTTTAATTGTGGGTGGGTGGGTGTGTTTGTGGATGCATATGAAGACAGAGAGGTGGGAAGGGGAGAAAATCTTCATTCAGATTTTCTTACTTGCTTTTGATCTTTGAGATAGAAACTTGGAATGGATGCTTTCATNACCTGTACTGTATCTCCTCAACAGTATCTAGGAAAGAAAACAAGTGACATTTTTTCATTATACTCAGTGATTGTCAATGGCATGCAAGAACTGGATAGCACAGGTGCCAACTGGTTGGTTTTTATCAAACTGGAAAGTAACATACTGCAAAAGGAAAGTTGATGACAGAATGATCTACATTATAATAGCTTGTTACACCCTCCAGCATACTAGCTTTAATTGAAAGTAATTGAGGGAGCTGTAAGGTGTAGTAACTGATAGCGTTGGTTGGAACATTTAATTCTGAAATCAAGTGTTCACGATATGCATGAAATGAGGAAGTGAGCTAGCAGCCTAGAGTGGCAAGTAGCAAAATGCACCCAAATTTATACGATAGGGATTAAGGTTTTTTGAGAAGGAGGAAAAGATGCAGGTACTTTTCTTCTATCACTGTATTGGCAAGTCTGGTCAGCATGAGTTGAAGTCTTTCTTCAATACTATATGTAAGCAAAGTCTAGCAAACTTTAACAAGTATCTTGTCGGTTTCTGTGTACACAGCACAGAAGAACTTCAGAGACATCCATATCGCCTCCTGGATCCAGCATTGGTTCCCCCAACCGAGTCATTTGTGTAAGTATACACAACATGGGGCAGAAGCAACATGGAAAAACAAGAATTGGGGTTGACAGCCTCCCATAGGAGTAATTTGGAAATGCATGCCCTGTGAATCCCAGAGGAGATGAAAAGAAGAGATCAACCAATAAAAATAAAATATCTATTGAGGACTGTTCCCTTTTAGACTTGGAACAGATTTCCAAGCCAAATATGTGCCAAGGAAAGCATTTGGCAAGTTCAGCCTGAGTTGTCTGTTCCCATCCCTGAATATCTGTCTGCTTAATGCCATTATGCCTTTGAGCATCATCTGTCTTGCAGAAGAACTCAGATGCATGTAGTCAAAGCAAAGCCTGGCACCACTTTCAATCTTGAGCTGACTGCTCCTTCCCACTTCTTCTGCTTCATCCACACAGGGAAAGCTCTGGCATTCCCTTCAAAATGCCTTCCTTTCTTTTCACCTTCATCATAAGAACCTGTCCCTGTTTGACCTTGCATTCTGATATAATCTTTCTCCTTTGCATTTCAAGTGCTTGTTCCTTTTCTTTCTGTGGTTGTCTATTGTATCTTTCCCTTTCCATAGGCTAAAGTGGATAATGAAATCCTTAATTACAAAGATTTGGCTGCTCTTCCCAAGATTAAAGCCATCTACGAGGTGCAACGCCCTGACCTCATTTCTTATGAGCCCTATCACAGATATACTTCGGATGAAACACTGGAGAGATATAGCTATGGGGAGGTACAGTTTCTAAGGCATTTCACCTGGATTGTACACAATGAATGACATCTCTGTTGGAAGCAGAGACTTGTCTATATCCTCTGGCTGTAAAAACCCATTAATTTCAACGAGAATGCTTGAGATTCACAATAACTATCTCTTACTCCAAAAAAAGAAATGATCTAAAATAGTATCCAGGTGAGACTGATCTGAAAGCATAGGTTCTACTATTTGCATGGAATACACAAAAGCACTTTCCAAATATAGATTGGAAAGTGGACTGAAGACAAACATTACACCATTGTTTATTTAATCATAGATGGTTGTTAAATCTTAAATATATACAATGCCTGGATAGACAGAACATACCGAACCAAACCAAAAAAGCCACATAAGGAGTTTGCCTATTACTCATTTAGAGTACCATTTGGCCAAGGATGAATCAAATAAGAATTCGCTTGTGGTTAACAGAATAAGCACAAAAATTATGCCTCAGTTTCAATTGCACCTGGACTGCTCTTATGTCCAACACGTCAACACCTCCTTGTTGGACTGAGAAGGATGGAGGTCTCAATGGGTGCAGTGGAAAACGAGGCAGATCTGCTAGTGTGAGTCTGTACTTTATGGGGCTAGAGATCAGATTCTGACCTATCTGGAAATGTTACTGTGCTATTTGTTTGTAAAAGCTTTTGCTTTTGCTTTAGGTTGCTGATGGGGTATTTGTCTAGGCTGAGCCAGTCCAGTGTCAGCCTTCTGGCTTCTGCTGAAAAAAAGGAATGGATAATTAAAATGAGGGGTTTCTGACAGAAGTATACCGGAGCTTTGGCAGAAGACAGCACTTTTGGACTGCTACAAGGCAGCGGGATTTTTAGAATAATCAGAAATATTTCATAGCAATAAATGACTGAAGCAACAAAATAATACAGCTCCTCCTTTGGAAAGGCAGTGGAAAACTCAGGCCAGAGACCTCGTGTTAACTAGCTCCTTATTAATCATCAGATCAGATCACAAATGTGTTAAGCTCCTTATCCCAGTTTCTCACAGAAGATATCCACTGATCCAGCTGCACTCATATATCTCATTGGGGACTGGAATCATGATAGGAAGAATCAATGAGTCCTATGTTCCATCTTTCCCTGGCAAACGAAGGCATGACCTTCACTCCTGGACAATTTTTGGAATTACAAAGAAGTGCTATTATTAAGGCATGAGACTTTTGTTTTAATATCTAAGCCAGGATATTTTTAAATCAAGCAAAATGGAACATTTGGAGAAACTTAAAGCAGAGCTTGGCAACAACAGCATTCCTGTTTAACATATTGTGCAGAATGGGAGATATAGGCTTTGTTTATATTTATAAACACTTATATAGTTATGTTTTTAAACTACTGTATTGGGGGTTACCCCTGAAGAGTATATAGAAGCTATAGATGGTGCAGAATGCAGCCATGCATTCAGTTCTAGGGGTCCCTAGAGTGACTCACGTAATACTACTGTTGCACTGGTTGCTGGTTTGTTTCCAGGTCCAATTCAAAGTATTGGTTAGGACCTTTAAAGCCCTTTATGGCATGGGTCCAAGCTACCGAGGAACCGTCTCACCACAATGGTATTGGTCTGCCCCACTGCTTCTGGGAAAAGGGACATGCTGTGGATCCCATTAGTCAAGGAATTCTGCATGGCAAGATTCAGGAGAAGGGCCTTTTCTGCTGTGGCTCCATCCCTTTGGAACACCATACTGCTTGAGACGAGATCCACCATCCCTCTTGGCCTTCTGTAAGAGTCTCAATACGTAGCTCTGTGGATCAGCCCCAATGAGGGCATTCCATGTTGGAGGAATGTTGGTTAGTGGATTAAAGAGAAGATTCCACCTCCACCCCATAGTATTTTGGTTTTTTGACTTATTTAATCTCTGCTCATTTTAATATTTAATCTTTAGTACTTTTGTTTTCATGATGCTTGTAAGCCATCCAGAATTGCTTCACAGTGATATGGCTGGCATATAAATTAAATAAATAAATGAACAAACAAATCAATAAAATATTTCATTATATTTATCCATACAAATTTTATATTTTATGCAATATGCTTATACGTGTAATCAAATTTTCAATCCATTGAATAAACAGAGCCATACGTTTATCTTTCCAATGTTGCAATATGAGTCTTTTAGCCACAGTAAGGGCGCAAAGAATCCTCTATGTTTTCTAGTTGTCCAAGTCCATGGACAAGGAATAAATCAAACTTGATAGGTATTGCAACAATGCTAATCCAAACACAGCCCATTGCTATTTTTTCAGTAGTCATTCAAGTATCCAGTTTTCCCAAAAGCTCTTTAAAAGACATACTGTAGGCTCTCCTTGTCTCTAGGAGTTGACTCTTCCAGAGAAGGTGGGTTGACATATTGAAGATTCATTTTCAGAGTCCCTGATGTCAGTGGGATGAGAGCAAGCCTTTTCTACTGTAATGGGTGTGTGTGTTCCACCAGAAAAGGCAATTCCACACACATCCATGTCCTGAACCATAAAGGACCCATATGTCTAACAACTTCAGTTCCTTCCAGAAACCTGCCAAGAACTAGTGTTGCTTCCAAAGTAATGGTGTAACATGGGTGAACCACAACACAAACATTGATACTGAACCCACTGCATTCTGAACCAACTGTAGCTTCTTAAGAACAGTCTGGTATATGGCAAATTGCAGTTATCCAAACATGAAAAAAGCATAGGTAATTATTGTCAAAGCCTCCCAAGCTAGGAATAACAGTAAGTGATGCACAAGATAGTGCTGTACAACAGTATCCTAGTCATGGCCTCTGCTTGCTCTTCATACAGAATTGTATGTCCTAAAGAACCCAGATTACAGATGATCTCTGCATAGGGGAACACAAAGTTGTCCAATGCCAAGGATGGAATTCTACTTAATTCCCTCAATTTCTAAACCTACAGTCACGCTCTCTTGCTGGGATTGAGTCTAAATCCATTTTTCTCCATTCAGTCCCTAATAGCCTCCAGATACTGGGAAGGATCTTAACATCTCCTGTTCAGCCCAGGGTAGCAGTGTAAAACTGAGTATCATCCATAGAGTGGGTGATTTGTTCCAGTGGCCTAATAAGAGAATCAAATTATAAGACACCCCATAAAGCAGGGGTCACCTTCATCAAGGGCTACCTCAACCACAAGGTTGCTGTCAGCCATTCTCCACTCTCCTGTTCCCACCCTCCAGCTCTTGGATAAACAACAGGGGGGGTTGAAATGGTGGATAGTTACATACACAAGTGCTGACTTCTTGACTAGGAGTTGCATCAGAACCTCTTTCACACGTATATGTCATACCTATCTAGACATTTAGCTATCTATTCTATCCTTCTGCCTTCCTCTCTGGAGGTTTTTGGCCACTTGGGGCAGCAGGGATCTAATCCATAAGTGGCAGAGCTGATGTCACAGAAGACTCTGTTTCCTTCATTAGGATCCATGGGGAAATATTGCTCTTTTGCTACTCATCCAATCATGGTGTAGGCTCGATGGTGTAGGCTTGAATCTGAGCGCTTAATGTGTGTGCAGTTGCAGTGACTTCTTTGACAGCACTACCTCAGCTTCTGCCACTTCAGAATGCTTCTTATTTGCACAGCAATGCAGATAGACTTCACTTACTGATTTCCCTGTTTAGCAATCTTTTGAAATTATGAAGGCCCTGAAAAAGCAATGACTTTTCCAGACATTTATGACTATCACAAGATGCTGTGGTCAGACAACTGCCATTTGTGTGCTTTGCATCTGGCTTGCACTAAACAATAAACAATGGGAAAGCCAGTAGTAAAATCACAAGTTGCAGTCACGTGATTTCTCACTTAACAAGCTGTGGTGACTCAATGAGTCAAGTGGAAATAAAGTCATAAGTCTGCCACAATTACATGATATATTGCTAATTACCATATCACTTAGTAACAAAATTGTAGTCATTAAGCAAGGACTACCTGTGCTCTGGACTATGCCTGTAACTTAAATGAACCAGTTTGGTGCAATCAGACTTTCAGAAATGGTCTAAGGATTTTCTTGTTGTTTTTTAAGGGATGCCACCTAATATTTCGCCTTTTGCTGTCTATTTCTGTATTTGAGCTAGTCCTACTTTTCCAAAGCAAATTTATGCTAAAGACATATTTTAATATTTCAACGAGGAGCATCTTAAATGAACTTGTAGGCAGGTTTCTGTGCTAGATTCA